GGTATTATATGATAAAAGAAGGGAGCCAATTAGTATGTAGGAATTACAACCCACCGTTGAGGCAAGTAAAAGAAAAATCATTAAATGTCAAAGATTAAAGTTATCTTTGCTTGACAGAATAGCTTAGGTTAAAATAATGATTTTACCCTGTTTTGTTTTCTTATTTCTATAGTTTCCAGTTCTCTTCTTAGATTGCTGATCGTGAAAATTTCTGTTAGAAAAATTTATTAACAAGGCAAGAAGCTTAGATTTTCAAACTGGTCAAAATAAAGGAAATGTAAGGAGCTGAGACGAAGGTGATCTTTAACTCTTCAGGTATTTTATGAACTATACGTGAGCTATCTGTTATGTATGAACCATGATTAAAAAAAACCCTCCCCAAACAAAATCCCTTCTTGGTATACATCTCCCTCAATCTCGGGGCCTCTACTAGAGGGAGGCCTGGGAGTTTGAAGGTTTTGTGCAATATCTTAGCTGTTCCTAGCACTGCACTCTTATGGACAGACAGCTCCGATGGACAGATAACTCCTCACCCAGCTTAGGAGTCATAGCCCTGGGTGCTTCTATCACCGTTGGGTCCATTTTGGCCTTTACTAACCCTTGTTCTAGAATGGAAACCTAATTCCATGCAGTCCTTAGCATCACCTGATTCTTCAGATCTCTCTGAAAAACTTTAGGATTGCTCCTTTCTCTCTATGGCGCATGCATGCACCCATACAGATATTAGAAAGATCAAAGAGACTGTCATATAGAAAGAAAGAACTATATGATCAGCAAGTGCCATTTGGTTCTTTCTTCATTTACTATCAGTCTGGTCTTTTCTAGTGAAACATAAGAACACAACAAGACATAGTTTGGAAGAGAAATCCGCAAAGCAGTGGCTGAGGATACTTCTCTGCATAGCCTTTTCCTCTGTTGATGGAAAAATCAATAATACAATCTCAAGAGAACAGACTTTACCAGTTTCAGAGAGGCGGTTGGTCTTTAAAATTTGAAAGCCAAATATATACTGAGAATTATGAGGCATCATAACTGCTATTATGAATTGCAACCAGAATGCTGCAAAGCAGATTCAGATCAAGTGGTTTCAGCAAGATGCTTCCCATCAGAATGAAAGTTACCACATCCTCCATTTTACAAATTATCATTCAGAGCATCTAAGCTATGAAGATGTTTGTTCAAGTTGCTATTTTACTAGGCCACCTAGACCTGAATTGTAAATACTGGGATTAACAATAGCTGGCAGCAAAGAGCTATAGAAAATCCTAGTTATTCAATGCCCTCTTGTGATCATCTGAAGTCTTGCAACCTGAATTCCACTTAAAGCCCCCTAAGTTTGATAGAACTTAGGAAGAACTGGGGACTTCTGGCTAACTTTGCAATTTCAGTGAATTTCTTGGAGCATGTCAAAACTAAAGCAACATGCCAAGCATAAATGAATGTTCAGCATCTTGGCTATGATTTCTAATACTCGCTGGTCACTAAGTGCCCATTAAAAATATCAGAAAAAGAAATAAAGCTGTAGGCAAATGTAGAAAAAATACTTCAGATACAATAAAGTGAACTTGAAAGGACCTGAATATTTTCTGGAGAAATTATACTATAAGATTCATAAAAGAAGCAGCTAACTTAAAAGATGGATAATAACACTTTTTATCTGGAGATATTTATACGCTTTGAGCATCATTTTATTTATAATGTCCTTTTCTTTGCAAATAATTTATAAGCATTCCAAACTTTAGCAAATCATGCCCCTCTAATTTTGGGCTAATATGGTCGGTCAGATTTTGAGCCCAATAAAATGAACCATTAGATAAACACAGCTGTATCACTTATTTTCCTTAAAATCAATGAAACTTTAACAGGGAGGCATGCAAACAACTGAATACTTTGAGACTCAGTTAAAAGAGTACATTTAAATTTTGTCTTTGAGGAACCCATTAATTAATTAATATTTTTGAAAAATTAAACAACTGTGTTTTGTTTCGTTTTGTAGGGAAGGAGATATTGATTAATATATTCTGTACCAATTTTATTCCCCAAGGCATTTGGAAAAAAATAATAATTTGGAACATAAAAGTAATCTACTGTAAGTTTGCCACAACATAGTTCGTGAAGGGGCTGCCTTTTTGTCTTGTAACAGGTCTTCTCCGTGACACTCTTTCCTGAAAGACCTTTTTTAATGCACTTATTACAAGGATTACTTTTGCCACAACTGTTTTGGCCAATACAAGCATTTGTGGCACTGGAAAGACTTTGTGAAAGTTCTGCGCAGATGAAGTGGAGGAACTGAAACGCTGGAAAAGAAGGCTAATTCAGGATCAAGGCAGTAGGAGACTTCATTAACTTCCATTCTGGAGAACATGGCTGATGGCAACTGAGCAGGTGATCAATTTATATTGAGGGATGCATATAAATCTGCTATTCTTGATTTTCCCAGCCAGGCAAAGATTATGCAGGCAACAGGTGGGCAAGTGATGCTTGATAATTGGATTCAGATTTCTTCGTCATCGAAAAATGTAATGTTATTTATAAAGGGTGGCCAATAATTCCCACCTTCTGAAAACAAATGGTTGAGAGCCTCATTTCTTTCATCTTTTCTCCTGTGTTTAATGCTCCTTCACCAATTACCTGGTCAACTCCCTAAAGTTCCTTTTCATTAAAAAAAAGAAAATAAGGCTAAAGACTAAATTCGAGGATTGAAAGTAACAGACAGACGTCCTAAACCACTTGTCTGCTACCAGTTCATGATCACAGCAGATTTACAGCTTGTCCTACATTTCTGTGGAGTTTTACACACATGTAAAAGACTTGATCAAGCAAAAACTTGATTCCAGAATACAGTTTCAGAAGCAATGTAGCAAAGCCTGGTACTTTTGAGACAATGTAATATTTTAACGTAGCAGTAATCTGATTTCTTAGACTACTAGATAACGCAGACTAGATAACTTGCTTGTTGTGCTAGGTAATGTAGTTCTCAAAATGCCTCACGTGGGATATTACTTGAATTCAGACACTTTTCCTTTTTCCTATTAATATTTTGACTTTTGTAAAGCTTAAAACTACAAACCTGCAATCCACTTCTTCACTGCAGTTAACTGAACTTCCTTTATGCTATTGTTACATGAATATCTGACTTATTTGTGGTAAATTGACTGACAATTTTCAAATTGGTAATTATTGTTTTTGTTGATGACCCTGTATTGGATGTTCAATCAATTTTAAGGAACAACACAATTTATCTTCTCGAAACAGACAGATTTTTCCTCATTAACAGACTACCAGCATTGGCTAATTTGTCTAATATTCATTTAAAAAATGCCTCAGAAACTGATTTCAGTGGATGCATGAATACCTTCCATTCATCCTAGCTTCTTATAAAAGGTCCTTGAACAATGAAAAGCCTCTTTCTTCAATAAAGTCTATGGTTTTTAAATGTCACAAATGATATAGAAATAGAGTGTATGACCAGGACTTCCTGGAATACTTTGAAAGGCGGAGATCAGAAACCCTTTGACGGTATACCCCAATGAGCAGCTAAGAAATGAAAGAACTTTTCCAAGGCAAAGCTAAAAGAATCTCCAAGTATCTGGCAAGCTTATCTGTGGGAGGGCTGGACTTGTAAATATACTTTTTGATTATTACTTCTTAAAAGACACAAAGTTGTATTGTCTGCACACCACAGGTCAGACCACATTTGTCTTCCATTTAAGAGGTTCAGTTAACTTGGAGAGAAAAATAAATTGTAACTATAGAGCCATCTCTCCCTTTAGCCTTGCAATAATATATCATGTATATTATTACCATGTAACATGGTATATACATACATGGTAATAATATACCATGTATGTATATACCATTTCACCTTTCAACTGAAGTAGAAAAACAATGAAGGCTTAAGAAGCCTGTTAAGATTGTATATTTTCCCTTCTCCTAGTCAAGGAAAACCTGATAGCAAAGGAGGATTTCCTTCACTTGCATTCTCTGCAACTGGTTGACTAACTTAATTTGGTTTGTTGCTTCATCTAACTTTCAAATGTTTTACAGAATAAATATTCTGACTCTATTCTAGGATGAAAATGGGATGTTCGGTCAGGGCCTTGGGAGAGGATTAAAACTCTCCTTGTCAAATTACTATTCGCTGTTATATAAGCAAGAAGCTGATGGTGACATGGGGTTTCAAAGTAACAAAAGATTCCGTGTGAACCCCATATCTATGGTTAGATACACTGGTGCATAGAATCTTGATGTGAAAGATTCTGTCTCTCAGGACTCTTAGCTCATTACTGATGGCTCTCTGCTACTTCACACTTGACCCCTCTTCCAGCCTTATGTGCTGTCAGCCAATCTATTTTTGGATACCTGAAAAATAGTAGGCATTTTTTCAGAAATTCCCAACTGATGGGACCCAAGCATGGAGCATCTCTATGTTTGCAACCAATAATTAGGCAACTGAAAGGTGACTAAACACTAAGCACCCACCCACACTTTATACCTCATTAAGAAGAATGATTGGTGGGGAGGAACAAGATAGGGAAGCCATTACTCACTTTCTGTAACTTCTTCTGCATTAAAACAGTATGGACAACTCTACTCCTTGGCCTCATTACTGAGATAGAATGGGGTTTGGTAGTAATACTGGCATACTTTTCTGCCAATTCAAGGAATGGTGGATGGCATGTTAACATGGTCAGGTGACTACGTCCTCATTACTTTGCATTTTTTAACGTACTCCAAAATAACTGACCAACATTCAGGTGTTTTATACTTTGAATACTGAATAGGCATTCATCCTGTACCTTAGAAATGCAATGGCCAGTTGTTATAGAGTAAGAAATCATTTTCCCGCCAGCAATAAAAAGCATCAGCTTAATCTGAGAAAGTGTATATCCAACCAATATTATTTTTAGAACATTATCAGCTGAAGTAGAAGATGAAGAAATAGTAGAAAGAAATGAAACCCACAAAAATAAAATAGGAAAAAGCTTTGCGAGGCTTACTTCTGGTGGTCACCAAGGGCTCTTTGTCCAATAGATTTTAACAATGATTCCGGATGGACTGCTACCTTTGGTGATGTTTTGGGACTAGTGTCAGAATCTCCACTTTCCTCATCTCCCATGGCTTTAATATAACTTCCACTTCTCATCCTTCTGCAGGGAATCTCCTCATCTTTACCAGCAGGGTAACCTCCCCATTCATCTTGAGGTACCTGGGACAGGTATTACAACAAGCACAAAACAGAAATAAATCTGACATTGCTGTGGGGCCCTTTAAACAATCTGTTACAAATAACAACTAAGTACTTGACATTGCCAAAAGGATAGATTTTAGTTTAGTTATTAACTAAGTACAACATTCTAATGATATTTGACTGGGGTCAAATGCAGAAGATTGTTTACCAGATGATGGTGTGCTGTAGTAATCTATAGCAGCTATTGCTTGCTTTGCACTTTGTGGTGAACCATGATTTGTTTAATATTTATTGGAGAAAGCACAGTTAGCTACAAGACATAAACCTCGATTTATAAATAGCAATGGCTAAGTTCACCCAACAAAAATAAAAATCAAGCATACAGTCAAAGTGAGTGAGGAAAAACTATCACCCTGATTCTTCAAGTGTCTTAAAAGAAGATGATTTCTGATCAAATTGAAGCTGAGACAGGCAACAAATAAAGTTGTATATTATAAAAGCATTTGATAACTAGAAGTATTTGCTAAAGAATGGGGTATGATGTTAGTTCTACATAACAGGCTAAAAAAAAAGAAGACCAACGTAACAGAAACTTCTGAAACACCTGTCTGATTTAGCAGAAACCTTAATAAGCCTGATGTATTAGCACTGGAAATCTAAATTTGCAATCTGGTAATCAAATGAAAACATTAATATCATTCAGATAATAACATCTCCAAATAAATTGAAGTTTTACAACGAAATATCAAACAATATTATTAAATATACTGTGAACCTATATTGCTATATACAACACTTTGTCCATGCATGTGACTAATGTTTAATTGTTCCAACTTAGCTTTTAGCTCTGAATTTTGGCAGGTCCTTAATCCAATACATAGTTGTAGTCTCTAACTGGTTCTGGCCTCAATTAAACACTTATTCCTGTTTGCTGTTTTCTAATAGGCATACTTACACCAACACACACACACACACACTATATACACATTAATGGGGGGGACATGATAGCAGTGTTCCAATATCTCAGGGGTTGCCACAAAGAAGAGAGAGTCAAACTATTTTCCAAAGCGCCTGAAGGCAGGACAAGAAGCAATGGATGGAAACTAATCAAAGAGAGAAGCAACCTAGAACTAAGGAGAAACTTCCTGACAGTTAGAACAATTAACCAGTGGAACAACCTGCCTCCTGAAGCGGTGAATGTGCCAACACTGGAAGTTTTTAAGAAAAGACTGGGCAGCCATTTATCCGAAATGGTATAGGGTTTACTGCCTGAGCAGGAGGTTGGACTAGATGACCTCCAAGGTCCCTTCCAACTTTATTATTATTATTATTATTATTATTATTATTATTATTATTATTATTATTATTATGGATCATTGCACAGTCAGCCAGATGTTCAGACTGGATTTGGCATTTTGTCTACCTATCGAGTCCTTACCCAGGACCTGGGATAGACAGATGTGGATGTTTGATGGTATTACAGATATCATCGCAGGATGGAAGCAGTTCCTAGCAAGGCCGCCTTTTGCAATTGACTAATAGCAAATTTGTCAATGCCAATGGTGTTCAAGTGGTGCTCCAGTCGTTTTGGGATTGCACCCAAGGCGCCTATGACTATTGGTACTACCCTTGCTTGCTTTTGCCACAGTCTTTCTATTTATATTTGTAGGTCTTTGTATTTTGTTATCTTCTCCAGTTCTTTCTCTTCTATTCTGCTATCTCCAGGCACTGCCACGTCCACTATCCAGACTTTTTTGTCTTTATTATCGACAATTGTTAAGTCTGGGGTGTTATGTTGCAGGTGCTTGTCTGTTTGAATTCTGAAGTCCCAGAGCAGTTTAATTTTATCATTTTCTATGACTTTCTCTATTTTATGATCCTACCAGTTTTTGCTTACAGGCAAATGATATTTTTTGCAGATCTTCCAATGCACCATTGTTGCTACTTTATCATGCCGCTGCTTGTAGTCAGTCTGTGCAATCTTCTTGCAACAGCTTACCAAGTGGTCCACTGTTTCTTCAGCTTCTTTGCATAGGCGGCAGTTACTGTCTGTTGCTGTCTTCCCAATTTTGACTTTGTATGCATTTGTCCTTAAGGCTTGGTCTTGTGCAGCCAGAATTAGTCCCTCGGTCTCTTTCTTCAATTTTCCTGCTCTTAGCCATTGCCAGGTTTTATTATTATCTGCTTTCCCAGCTATTTTTTTAATGTATTGGCCATGTAGTGCTTTGTCTTCCCATGCCTCTATTCTGTTCTTCATTTGGTCTTTCTTGTAGGCCAGTTTGGTCTCTCCAGTAGTTAGTAAGCCTTCCTGATATACTAATTTCAGTGCATCTTCATCATTGTTCTTCAGATATTCTTCCAAAGCCATTTTTTCTTCTTCAACCATCTGATGTACTTGTAGCATTCCACGCCCACCTATTTGCCTTGGTAGATAAAGTCTATCAATGTCACTGCGTGGATGAAGGGCATGATTCATTGTCATTATTTTTCTGGTCTGCCTATCCATTGCTTTTAGTTCTGCTTGAGTCCAGTCCACTATTCCAGCTGTGTACCTAATGACTGGGATTGCCCAGGTGTTGATTGCCTTTATGGTATTTCCTCCATTGAGTTTGGATTTTAAGATCTTCTTCACTCTCTTGATGTATTCACCTCTAATCTTTTTCTTGACTTCAGTGTGCTTGATGTTGTCAGCTTGAAGGATACCCAAGTATTTGTAGTACTCTTCCTCATCCAGACTCTTAATGTTATTTTCGTGGGGCATCTTGATTCCTTCAGTTTTCACTATTTTTCCTTGTTTGATAGTAAGTGTGGCACATTTGTCCAAGCCAAACTCCATTACAATATCTTGGCTATATATACGGACAGTGTTGAGCAGCGATTCTATTTCAGATGATGTTTTTCCATACAGCTTCAGATCATCCATGTAAAGGAGGTGGGATAGTCTAGCAGATGTTTTTGATGTTTGATAGCCATGTCCTGAGTTATTCAGTATTGTTGACAGAGGAAACAGTGCAATAACAAATAGTAATGGTGATAATGAATCTCCTTGAAATATTCCTCTCTTGATATTAACCTCTCCCAGCCTCTCACCATTGATCTGCAACTGTGTCTTCCATTGTGCCATCGATCTTTGCACAAATTTTCTGATGTTTCTACTGACTCCTGTTATTTCTAGGCACTTTATTATCCAATCATGTGGCAGAGAGTCAAATGCCTTTTTGTAGTCAATCCATGCACATTCAGGTTGGTCTTCCTTCTCTTGCAGTTTTCCAAGATCATTTTGTCTATTAGGAGTTGATCTTTTGTTCCTCTGCTATTGGGGCGGTTTCCTTTCTGCTCAGGTGGAAAGAGATTGTTTTCAACTAGATGCTGTTGTACTGCATCAGCTACCACACCAGTTAGTAATTTGAAAGTTGTTGGTAAGCAGGTAATTGGCCTGTAGTTACCTGGTGTTGCCCCTTTTGCTGGATTTTTCATTATTAGGTAGGTTTTCCCAGTTGTTAGCCACTTTTCAATTTCTCCTCCTTGTAGTATATTGTTGAACTGCTTGGCAATGAGTGGGTGTATAACAGTTAGATGTTTCAACCAAAACCCATGCAGTTCATCTTCACCTGGTGCTGACCAATTTTTGATTTTCTTTGCTCTTTTTTCTACCATTTTTGTTGTTATTGCTAGTTCTTTCATTTCAACTTCTGTTTTATTTGCATCCACCTCTTTTAACCAAGCCGCATCCTTGTTGTATTTCTTTGGGTTATCCCATATCTGCTTCCAGAACTGTACTGTTTCTTCCTTGTCAGGTACTGACTGATTCCTTGCAGTTTCTCCATTGATGGATTGGTAGAAACGTTTCTGATTGGATTGAAATTGGAGGTTCTGCCTATAGTTTGCAATTCGAGCTTCATATCTACTGATTTTCCTGGCTATAGCTGTTATTTGTTGCTTTATTATTTCCAGTGCTTCCTTGATCTTCCTTGTTTCTAAGTGGTATTTCTTGATTAGGTATTCTTTGGGTCTTCTTCTTCTTCTTCTTCTTCTTCTTCTTCTTCTTCTTCTTCTTCTTCTTCTTCTTCTTCTTCTTCTTCTTCTTCTTCTTCTTCTTCTTCTTCTTCTTCTTCTTCTTCTTCTTATTATTATTATTATTATTATTATTATTATTATTATTATTATTACAGAATCTAAGACCACTAAGAGTAAAAATATCCAAATGCAAGTCATTTAACTTACATTAGATCCCTTCCCAGTGCTTGCAGAAAAAACCCAGGTTACAACACTGTCAGAGTATTACAATATTACTTGACAAGATATTATTGTGCTTTAAGCAAACAAAACAGCTGAAAAAGAAGCAATGCAGAAGAAGCAAAATTTATGTCATAAATTAACTGAGGCAATTATTTTATGGCCTCCTACTTTTCTATGAAGATTCCCCCTGAAACCATAGTTTCCCTTGTTCTTCCTTAAAATGCCCTTTCTGAAAAGCCTTCATTCTCTACTTACTCTCTTCTGGAACCATTTCCCATGGGGCACATTTGAGAGTTTTCTCTTCCTAGATCAACTGTTCTATCCATGAGAAGATACATACAGGTAGTCCTCGACTTACGATCGCAACTGAGCCCAAGATTTCTGTTGCTAAGCATGATAGTTGTTGTGAGTTTTGCCCCATTTTATAACCTTTCCTGCTGCAGCTGTTAAGTGAATCACTGCAGTTACTAAGTTAGTAACCCAGTTGCTAAGGCCTGAATTTTGATCACCTGATCATGGGGATGCTGCAACACTCCTTAAGTATGGAAAACAAACATAAGACACTTTGAACGAATGGCTGAAAGTCGAGGAGTACCTACCTTTACCTGGGGTAAAAAGCAAAATAATACCAAAAATGCCTGGGAAACCATTTTACCAATCATTGTCTTACGGAAGACTCACATGAAACATACAGAACTGTGTTGTATAAGACTCTTACTGAAAGGATTGCAGCAGGGGAGCAGATGGTGAGAAAGAAATGGAGTAGCTTTAAAAAGTGG